CGCTAATGTTTACATGCCCTTATTGCTTGAAAACCTATCCCGAGTCGGCGTCTGAATGCGTTCAGGCATATGCATGTCCCCGTTTGTGAGTGTGCTGTTAGCAAGCATTGCCTTATTTGTGTGTGTTATGGTAGGAAGCACTGTTGTAGCCAAGTTTGTATTATGCATAATATTGCGCGAATTAATACAAACCAAATCGCTATCCAACTGACCTGCTGTGTTTTGGGGTACTCTGTCTCCCCGCTGATCGATCCTGTGCCAGTTGGCGCCTCCACCTCTGCTCCAACCACATAATTTCTTCTAACTTCTGGCTTTTGGACCCTTTACCAGTTGGTGGGCCAGTGCCGCTTTCCTTTTAGGAGGCATCCATCATACACCAAACATACGAATGAGGTGAGGTGAAATCGCTAAACCCTGGATGCGTTGTGTTGTTAGGATGACTTGACGGTTGGGAGTGAAAATAGTGACGTCATGAGACCAAGGGTAGTGACATCATGGGAGAAATGACGTATGGTTGCCATGGGGAGTATTTTAGCGGGTATTGTGAGAGGATAATGTTCGTAAACAAATGGTGGAAAATGGTAAATGGGAATAGTTACTTGTATTTATTATGCGGAGCTGACCATAAACCGATTTAGCGAAATAATGCTAAATCATACTAATTATTACAAATACTGAATTTTGTCCCGTTTTTGTCCAAATCGGGCCTCCATACACAACTTTTCCTCTATACAGTGATACACTGGAGGTCTCTCCCTTGTCAAACTAAGATTCAAGGCTCGGGTCTCACTTGACGCAACTAATATAAATAATTAACTTTTATCGGTAAAATATGCATAGTTAGATAAAATAAATTACATTTGTGTCTATCAGGACACGCATCATCATAAATGTTAGTGAGTGCATTTTATTCTGTTTTGTGTACATAACAAGAACTATGATACATGTACCCTGGGTTGCAGGCTACTCCCAACTTTCGGACACTGAATTTCCTCTGACCAGCTTAAATGAATTTCACAGTTTTCTGTTGTTGCTTTTTTCATCCTAAGGTTACCTACAAGGGAACTTTTCACCTTGCAAATTTGCCTGCGTGTGTAAATGTGTATGTACAATTATGAGTATAGCATACAGCATGTACATGTATGTATTGCTTTTGCAAATATGAAATTCAGTTCATATGCTGCGAAAACAGCAACAACCCTTATTTTTCAAGCAAATTCCATATGATACAATAATTACTACACCGTTCTTGTCATCCATGTTTCATGGTACAAACCTTACACCAGTGTATTTGTTGTTATTTACTTGATGCTTGTTAATGACTTTATTATTAGTATAGGTAATGATGGTTCTGGCTCACTTCCACTAGAGCCAGATTCATATACCTATACCACCACTACAGGGGGAATTTATTATGTCAAAATGATGATGCAATTCAACGATTGTCATGAAAATATTCTCTATTATTTTTATTCATACGTATACCATTATTTTGAACAAAGTGATATTCAACATTTTTACTAAGTTCTTCGTTCATATTAATAGGCGACCAGACTATATACTCTTCTTTGTAATTGGAAAGAAACAATTGATGACCGTATTTGGTTGGTTTGATATCACTGATATAATATATACCTTGTGGTAATTCTCTCCATTTGATAATTTTGTCCCTGAGCATAAATGCTTCGATAGCTTTTTAGAGTTCTTCCTTTGTTGGTTTGTAATTTTCCATTATTTTATACTTATGTAAGCATTCGTTTTAATGAATGTATGATTTTTTATGCTGTACGATCTAATGATAGGAAGTAATCTGTTTTTAATCTCCAACAAGTTCTTTGGTTTTGGCACGGAATAATTGACACGCTTGTTGTCTGCCCTGTTCTATGAACTTATTTTTCTCGTCTTCGCTAATACCACTGGTCTTACGAGAATTTAATTGAATCTCCTGCTTCATTGCGTTGTATTTGGTGAGTTCTGACAACACTAAACGAAACTCCTCCTCGGATATCTTACAATTGCTGTTGAAATATGATCCTCAATGCTGTTTAACTTTGCTTTACGCGAGTATCCGAATATTATCATGTTTTAATGCTTTCTTTTGCAACTTATGAGTTCAGATAGCTTGGCTATATTATTGATGAGTTCTCCGCGCATTGTTTGCATTGCCTTGTCAAGACCTCGTAATTCCCTAATACTGAACTCCGAGGATGGTACACTGGCCGTGGAATTATCGTAGTAGGTATCCAAGATTTCTCAGAGTCCGTCCGAGGCCAGCTTCGAGCTTTCTTCCAAATTATCTATGTTACCGAGTTCATCACTCACAGTCCGAAGAACATTGGTAGTCTTCGCAGAAAGTTTTTCTCATGAGTAGTCTACAAAACCTAATTCATTACGAACAATGTTGATGCCATGTTTACTGGCTATCGTAGACAAAGCTAGGGGGTTACGAGTACGAGAATTCATAAGATCAATATCTGGAGAGCCACTCAGTCGCAATATTCCTTAACTATCTATCGTAAACTTTGAATAGTCACGACCTATAGGAGTTTCATTTAAGGCATCGTAATAATCATTAACGGTTGATTGCAAAAGTTCATCGATAAGTTTCATGCCACCAAGGCTGGTTTCATCAGAACCCTCTTCGATTGTACTACTATCAGTTATGTTATCTAGATTACCGGTAATATCATCCATTTTTATATTAAACATAAGGTTACATAATTTCAATATAACAATGTCTTGGCAATACGGACGCAAGTTAACCCACAACGTAGACTTCGGGATCCATTAGGGGTCAAAGCAATTCGTCAGTCTGTAACTATAACTAATAACCTGAGTACCATTGATCAGAATCAAACACTTCTGGTTCTCTTTCCTAATCTCGGCGCACACGATGTGTTAGTTCTAAGAACTGCACCACTATCAATTACAATTAGTTTGAATTCTGCCGACACTAGCAGAGAGCTCGTTTAGAACATAGGTCGTGCAATTGTTAAGAAAATCTCGATTAAAATTAGCGGTAATGAAGTTTTTAGTATTGATGACAGCGATGTATATTTCTGTTACCGGTACATGGATCTCTGGAGAACGGCTGAAGAACGGGAAAACTTACAATGCCAAGGTATTTGTTATCAGAACACTTTGAGACTGCGTGTAGGTGCTGATAGTGTTAATAATTCCGTCGTAGAAGGCCGTTGCTGATGCATTAGGTAACCGATTCTATATTCTGCTAGACTTTGAATTACTAGTTAGTCACATGCCCTTTTATCAAGCATCCCTAGGTGATAGGTTAGAATATGAACTCACTTTTAATGACTACCACAGAGTTATCAAAGCTACTGAAGATCCTAGTAGCTATTCTATTGAAAATATCTCACTGGAGTATGATATGATAACAGATCCTGATTTAGCCAGACAAATTCGCAACCAGTATACCGGAAGTTTAGCCATTTTGTACAATTGCGTGCTTCGCCACTGAAAGATCACCAGGAACAAAAGTGATACGACGATAGATCTTTGAAGGGTATTTTAATGTTGTTCGAGGACCCCTCTGAAGCATTTGCAAGAGATACCGAGGCGTTCTACAATTCTAAGATAACAAAAGTAGAATTGACTATCGAGGGCGTGACTAATCAACTATATAGTCAAGGCATGGGAGCATATCAACAGTGGGATGAGATTAAAAAACTCTATAAAACGAAGCCCAGAAGTTAACACGGTCGTGAAAGATCTGTCTCTCGGGGGTGTATCGATGGCTGAATTCCTTACAACGAAGTATGCACTCTGGCTCGACATGCGAACAACGGATGATGACCAACTACACGGCAGTTGGAGGAGAATAGAAAATTCTAGCGAGGGTGTTACTATACAGATAACGAAGCACCAGGAAGCGGCTGGTAAATTAAACATATACTTGTACGTGATTATGGACGTGCAACTTAATATACAGAATGGACGATTCGTGCAAGCAATCTATTAATAATCTTTTCCCTAAAGAACCGCACTGCGCTATCATCTGCTGGCAAACTGGGTGTGGAAAAACAGCTTTTATTCTAGATATTTTACAAAGTCATTATCGGGATGTTTTCGCCCATATTATCATTCTGTGCCCGACTATAAGCATTAATATAACATACCTATCGAGAGATTGGGTAATGAATGATCGCGGGGTGTACAGAGTTGATCCGGGCGATCATTTACAAGACTGTTTACGAGTATGTCATGAAAAATACAAAGAAGAATCAACCCTTTTCATAATAGACGACTGCAGTGCGAGTAAAGGACTTACCAAAACGAAAGATATTTCATATTTAGCATTCTCCGGTCGGCATACTCAGCAAAGTGTTTGGGTACTTACACAAAAATACAATTTTTTTAACTTATCCTGCATTACTCAGTATTGCATTTACTGCTGTCTTTGACAGAGAGACGAACTGTGTGAGATCCATCTGCTGAAGAAAGTTGTTTCCATCTGTCCAGGAAGCAGCGCCCCCTCCCACACAGTCGGCATGTGACCTGGAAGACATGACTTCAAGTCAAAACACATAACTGCTTTGTCAGCCACACGGAACGGACGTATACTGTATCCCTCATGGAAATATTAAAGCTTTATCTGATCCTGACTTTCTATCGTTTACTACGACAAAAGTCTGCTGTGTTATTTATTGTATTTGGTTTGTTACCTTTGACTTCATTCTATTGTTAATTGGTAACGTTTCTCGCTCGTGTTGTGGCTCTCATCACGGTATTTCCGAGCGTATTGTTTCCCGCCATTTTGGTTTTCCCGCCATTTTTCCCCGCCCTTTTGCGATTCACTACGTGTTTTGTGTTTTGAATTCGATCTGTGGTTGGAGTTTTACATGAAATTTAATGTTTGTATTTGGCGTGTTCAAGCGTAATTGTTTGCTCTTATAAACTTTGTAACAGAATAAGTTATGTTGAGTTACATTATGTTTCACATTGTGTGTTTACACATCGTTATGCTTTTGCTTCAATTCCAGTATGTCTCGCTGCACTAACTGCAGCGGGAATAAATCTGGACGGGACCCCCACCCCTGCTGCCTGGACTGTACAACCCCGTGTACCCTCATAGAGCAGTGCAGATACTGTAGTCCCGTCGCCAGTTTCCTTCACTGCCTACCTACGAGTGTCTCGGAAACGTTTCACTCAACATGTGCGTCGACACTCCAACATGCCATCCAACATAGAGTCTGCCTCCCATGGCTCGACATACGACCGTTCACGGTCTCCTACACCACCCTTACCGTCGCCTGCTTCGACCTCTTCGTCTGCAGCATCACCCGTAACGAGTTTCCTGTCTCTTCTACCATCTACATCGACAATTCCAGCGCCGCCGATGTATCCGGCACCTCTGATGACTCCGACGCCTCTGACTCTGGCGTCTCTGATGACTACGGCGCCTCTGATGTATCTGGCGCCTCTACCTCCAGTGCCTCTGACTACTTCGGCGCCTTTGACTTGTGCGGCGCCACCTACGTATGGACATGCCCTCCTGTCATTGTTTATAGATCCATCTTGGATGCAAGCTTGGATGCAGTCATTGTTTACGCAAGCTACTCCCGCCTCAGTGGCGGCCCCGACTACAGATACTTCAATTCCTGCGGGCCCCTCTCTTCGGGTGCTCATCGGTCTCGATCGTCGTACACCTCGTCGCCTCCGACTCCTTCTCGGCACTCATCCAAGTCAGCTCGATCCCGTCGCCGTTCTCGTAGTCGCTCACCCGTACATAGACGTCGACGTTGTTCCTCCTCATCGGAAGGATCATTTCGACCCGATTATGACCCTCCATCTCCCTAGATTGATACACACTTGGGCCTATCACAGGTTGCTGATTGGCTAGCGGACCGTTTGACCTCCGTCGCTCCCTCCCCGGGCTCCGATGTCGACAAAAAATCGACGATTTGGTCTAACCCGACTTCGCTTCCACCCGACCCAATAGGGGGTGTAAGTAGGTCACGGGACTACGCGAGACCTAACGTTATTTAGTACTTCCGGTGACAAACAACGTCTTGCAGCAATGGCGGCAGCAGTGTCACGTCGGGCAGGGCCCGGCAAATCATATTTGGAAAACGCAGGTGTAACTTAAAAAAACATGACACTGTCACAGTCATTAAAACACTCGAGATGGGGAACATGAATAGCAAGTGTTGGCTTGTCAAAGCAGTTGCAGTGTTGTCAAGACGTCCTATGGTTGATGTCAAACTGGCCGCTACCCATTCATAAATATTGAGGTAAGTTTTCACTTTTTGCACACTTCTGATCAGATGGTATAACTGTCAGTGTTGATAAGGCAATACTGATCGGTTTATCATCACACGTACAATGGTGATGGCGTTGAAAAATGAGCATAAAGCATTGTTCTGAAGGTATTTGCAATATGCCCTCGGTTTGTGCACCATACAATGTTATGGCAAATTTCCATTACATCTATCCTGAGCCTTTTCCAATAATAAATGTTCGGCTCTGATAGGGAACGTCACAGAATTATATTTGTAGGTCCAGGTGAGATGACAAAACTATAGTCATATTTAAAGAAGGTCTATCAAGTGCATGTTGGCAACGCAATTTTTGTCAATACTTAATGTTGTGCAAGGAGACTTATGGGGGTGCCTGTGTTAATAAATAAGGATATGTGCCAATATCACGATGATAATTTTATGTGCACTGAAAAATCAGGTTTTATTCACACACAAAAATATTAATCTAATTTGTAAATAATGATGATTAAATCCTTGCAGTGTTTGTTATAAAGATTTGTATGATGTGAATAGACTTGACCATTACAACCCCATTTAGCATTTGTTTAGCATATTCAGTTGAAGGTACATGCTTAATTTATTAAATTTATCTTGATGCAGGCATTGTAAGAAATGATTGGTATTTTAGAAGTATATATTTTATGATCTCATAAGTGTTATTTATCTTTTGCAGTTGGACCATATTTCCATGTTTGAGGGGAGAAAGATTTCCTCATCTTACTCACGAGTAGATGCATATGGATCACCAGAATTACCTTGATGCCAAGCATAACTGCACCTCAAGAGCATCTCAGACTATAACATATCTTCAGATTTCTTGGAATATTTTGTGGTCAAGCATTACATTGCCTATGAAAGAACAACTCTTGTTGTGTATACATATTAACATATTAAAGTTCTATCTGAACATTTTGCTGAAGTATTGGCTCTGTAAATGATGTCTGTGACCATCAGAATACACCATATACACTGGACACTTGCTGGAACAGGACCTACTTGTCATCAACATGGTGTTGCAGAACATCTTGGGACTCTCCCATAAAGTCCAGTGTGAATCTAGATACTGACACCAGTAACAGTGCATGCTGGCACATTTATTTGTTCAGGCTTGGCATTTGGGAATATTTTCCATGAATGTTTAATACTCATGACCTTGAAATATAATTATTGAATAGATCTGAAGCTTATTTATTGTTTTTTGTCTGGGATAATGCCATACAAAAAAAGTTTTTTTTAATATTTCTGGTATCAGCCATGATACTGAAATGATATTGAATATAATATCATAACAATGCACATGGAATGTGTGATAATAGATTTCCAGTTTATGGGTCAAAATTTTCCTTTGTTGAAATATCAACATGTCTTGTTTTTGCATCGCTGTTTTAGGGTCCAGCATACAAATTACACTGATTCATAGAACAATAGCCAATAAACATTAACATTTCTTGACCAGTAATCTTAAAACAGATTGGTCCAAATGGATAGCGGAAAATGTGAAATGACAGTGACCTCATTTGTTTGACTTGGATTTATTGGCAGAATATTTAAAATACACAAATATATGAAAAATAGGTGCAATTGTTTCTATCTCTTCATCAAGTCAATATGGTTGCACTACATTGTGTTCATCAGTGTTGACTGAGTGATAAGTTGAATCTATTAATGTTTTGGACTTGTGGCAGTTTTTTTACTTGGTTCAATTGAGCCTCACAACCAGAAATATTAATTTAGAAACCCCTACCGTTTATCACAATTAATCTTTTAATCTTGCCCCTGCTATCAATCACAGTCTGCAGTGTTATAACAATTATATTGCTGACGAGGTGTAACACTTTTATTTCTTCCCTCAGAATAACATTACACTTCATTTATTAGTAAGTATCTTTCTTAATGTAGGACATGTCATTGGTGATCGCCTCCATAATTCAGTGTATTGTTTTGCATTTTGGCCACTTCTGACTTGAAGTTGCTGCGTGCTGGATGATGCTTTATCTTTTGGTTGCTGTACAGCAGAAATTCACTCCTGTATGACCAAGAAAAAACCCCATTCATGTTCTGCAACAACATAGAACTAGACATCAAGTACATACACAGTGTAAAATTACCATTGTCCAACACCAGTTCTATTCATCACCGGACTTAACAAATAATGTTTACACAATTTGATGAATAAGTATATCACTGTGAATATTCATATGGAATACTAACAGCAGTTACTTGTTCCACAAACCTGAAACCACCTGAGACTAAGAGGTCTTTCATTGAAATATGCGAGTAAAATAAAACAATTTGACTTACATACTTTTAATATAACTATGATAATACATATTCAAATGTAGTTCGAAATTAAGGGGTATGTGTGTTTTACAGGATAGGGTTTGATATATTTATTTCAAAAACTAGATTATAGTAATCAATATAATGTATTGACTTGCCTTCATGGTTATTTGATTAACTGTTGAGTGATTTGTGACACTATAAGTTATTATGTTTATTCTCCCATATATTCTTTTTTGGTGTATGTTGATGAGAAGAGCTTTATTTTATTCAATTTGGATAATTATTTTTGGGATCAATATATTTACAGGCAGCGCTAAGAAAATCTATTTGCCATGCAGTAATGACTGTCATTCATCCAAAGTAGAGGAAATTATTCATTTTCTCTCAACTTTTAATTATTTCACAAAAATATCTTTTTTATCATTATCTTTTTTTTCTTTTCTTTTTATGGGGTGGGGTAGGGTGGGGTGGGGTGGGGGTTCTTTTGAGTCTTTCTTGTTAATTTCATAGTCATTAAGTACATGTAGGTGAGAGTAAACTTATGGTGCAATTACACAACAATTTATGCACAGGCTTTCTCCATTGCATAAAAACCCTATTGTCTCCTTCATAAAAAAATATTTATAAGTAAGTTTCTTCTCCAAACTAACAAATTTCTTAATGGAATATTATTTACTAAATTTAAGGTGTGTGACAGAGTAAACATGGTAATTATGACCAAATATAGTGCATATTAAATTTTAAGTTCCAAACACGTGACTGGGTTATTAAGTGCTATAATTACTAAAAAAATAAATAAATACAATATACTAAAATAATTTTCACGTTTAAAAATATATTCATAGCATAGATTTTCCAAATTTCATCCTCCAAATCTTGCCTAAATTAATGCCTATTCAAACTGTCAAAGGCACTGCTTCTATGACACTGCTCATGCTGTCAGATACCAGAATAACGTGGTAAGCTGGGGAAAGTGGCCTACCTATTAGTAGTTACATCTTCATAAATAATATTACATCACAGAAACATGTGACACATCCTCCGTAATCATAAAACACTGTCCACTGAGACTATAAATACATGTCTGAACGATAGTACCACTGGTTGTCAAAATTATTGTAAAGGTAAAGAAAAGAACACATACCTTTATGAACGGTCCCATGGTTGTCAGTTGTCAGTCAGGAACCGATAAACCTGACAGTATTGACAAATAACCGATCATATTATTCTGAAATAAGTAAACTTTTACGACTGTCAACAGCGGTGACAACCAAGCGTGGTAGTTCACTTGGTACCGTCTACAGAGTTAGCTTTGGCGGCCGCGCATTTCGAAAGCAGCACTAGTTCACGCGGATAGGCATGTCACCGGAAATGCTGGCAACGGAAGTAGCCCTTTTTGCGAGACTTACGGGCCCTATGCTGACAGACCTTGTTACGGCGTTGGACGAGGACTTCGCTATGTTGTCCCTTGTCCCTTGTCGTTCAAGGCTTCTCGTTTCCGACGTGATGATTTCCCTGTCCACTCCTTCGATGTGGTGCGCACATCCTTGACGAGGACTTACATCGAATGACCGGGTCTTCCCAGTACGCCACTATACATATGCCAGACTCCCGACTCGCTTTCGTGGAAACTGAACTGCGGCGTTCTTTGAAGCCACTGTCTACACTTGCCTCTTCTGCCAGAGCCATTGACCAGGATCTCTCAGAGTCCAATCCTAACAGGATCGACCACCTACGCACTGTTATGACATTCCAACTTCGCCAGGTGACCATTTGCGCAATTATCTGAGAGCCGCTCTTGCGGAGATCACCACTACTCGATGGTTGGGTTACTTTACTTCAACGGAATGGAATTCCGAATTCAAGCGTTCCTTACTAGGACAACCTTGGTCAGGTCCTATCCTTTTTAATGGTGCCATCTCCGCTATGCACGCCCGAGTCTCCAGCTTCGCGAGATGAAACGGCTCTCAGAGCCCTGGAGCATGTCACGCACCAATCAGCGGTCAAGTCCTCCAAAGGCAACTACAAACCGCGCTGTTCCTCTCTCAAGGTCGTCTCCTTTCGTAGCCAGACAGGGCGTGGTCGTGGTAAATCCCGTGGCACCTACCAGCCCCGAAGGGATCGTCGCCCAGGCAAGGGTGCTGATTCCACATCAAGCGTTGACCGGCGGGACCTCAATGACGGGGACCTCCCACCCCCAGCCGTTCTGGTCACCGACACACCTGTGTGTGGGAGACTAGGCTGGTTTTGGAGAAACTGGTCTATACTGGAGGACCCATTCGTCACAAACGTCCTCCATCAGGGGTACCAGCTCCCATTGGCTGCACTTCCTCCCCTGACGTCCACTCCGACAACAGACGCTTATTCGCCACACCAACTTCGGCCCCTTCACGACAGCATCGACTCCCTTCTGCGGAAGGAGGCCATAGAGATCGTGCACGACCCGGCTCGAAACCCAGGATTTTACTCCCCGGTGTTTCTGGTTCCCAAGAAGGGAACCACCAGCTGGCGCATGATACACAATCTCTCCACTTTCAACCGGCGCTACTTGGAACGTCCTCCTTACTTCCGAATGACGACGTTGAGACTGCTCAGGACAAGAATCACAGCAGGCGATTCCCTGATCAGTCTTGATATCCAGGACGCCTATCTTCATGTACCCATCCACCCCAACGACCGGCGCTTCCTCAGGTTCATTTTCAATGGTACCCATTACCAGTGGGCGGTCCTACCATTTGGAATTTCCACGGCCCCATGGCTTTAAACACGGATCACCAAACTGGTCACTGCCTACCTACACCTGAGGAACATCAACTTCGATCCATACATCGACGATTGTCTCCTCAACAATCGGGACTCGATGTTGCTACTGCGCCACAGGGATTTTACCCTGCGGCTCTTCAATCAGTTGGGATGGATCGTCAATCAGACGAAGTTGGAGCTGACCCCATCGTTCCGTCTGCAGTTCATCGGGGGCCTGTTTCTCACGGATCAGGACCTCCTTCAAGTCCCCAGGGACAGGTGGTTGAAAATCCTCGCTCACCTCTACCCTGCCCTCCAGCAGGCTCGAACTCTCCGCCAATGGCAGGTTCTCTTGGGCCTCCTCCCATGGCTCAAGACCTTACTGCCAGAGGTCGCCTCCAACTATGTCCAATTCAATGGTTTCTCTCTCCCTTCATCCGGCAGCAGGATCCGGGGTCCCTCATCGTCCTCCCCGTTCACCTCCACCCCTTCCTGCCATGGTGGACGGTGGAATCGAACGTCTGCGGCGGCGTCTCCTTGACCGCGCTACAGCCCACCCTCAACCTGTTCGTCGACGCATCCAAACAGGGTTGGGGCTCATCTGGGGACTCAAAAAGTTGCAGGGCAGTGGTCCGGAGATCGACTCCACTGGCACAGCAACAACCTCGAACTCGAAGCTCTCATCCTGTCCGTCTCCCACTGGCAGAGCATTCTCTGTCACGCCCTGTTGACCATCTCCACGGACAACATCACCGTGGTGTCTGAGGAATCAGGGTACTCTCCACTCTCAGTCCCTGCTCAACCAGACCTTCCGATTTTTTGACCTGGTGGACCGCTTAGACCTGCAATTCCTTGTTCAGCACATTCCAGGTTGCAAGAATGTTCTGGCAGATGCTCTGTCCAGGCCGGACAAGGTGACTCCACCCAGAGATCTTCACCATCCTTTGTCAAACAATCCACACTCCAAACATCGATCTGTTCGCCACGTCTCAGAATTGCCAGCTGCCGACTTACATCTCGCCGGTCCCGGATCCGTCCGCTGTAGCTCCTTCAGTGTTCCCTTGGAGGGATGAAGTGCGTACGCTTTTTCCGCCTCCGGTTCTCCTTCCCAGGGTTCTTCAAATGATCAAGGCCACTCGACACCTGACACT